AGGTTTGTAGAAATTGCGTCAGTCATTGTATTCTTGCAGACGTAATTCGGTAACAAATTTTCACGCATGACAAGTTTTATTGGTTCCGATCTCTGTTCCGCAAGAATTATGAAACATTTTTTCTCGAAAAATTAATTCCGATTTTGAAGGAGATTTTTGAAACAGCAATGGAAACGAATTTGCCTACTGCATGAGCTAAAAAAGGCAAATGCAGGGGTGACGTAGGTTTCAGAACCCCTGTCGGCGTCGTTTTTACGGACAAAGGGTGATTCACGTTTCTGTCACGGAAGACTCAAATGCCAGGGCCCTGTTTATGTAGTCAACTGTGAAAATTCTGTTCCTGGATTGTTTCCGTCTTGATAGTATTTCCTTGTTGGCTGGAGCTGATTATGTCAGACATAAGAAATGGTACTTAAATTTTCTCATGCCATGCCTCCTCATAGTCAAAGTATGAATTGCCTATGATTCTAAATCCAGTTTCATTCCACTGGTTGTTTTATCAATCTGTGATCTGCAAGACTTTTATGTTATCATGCCTCCTAATAATCAAAATATGAATCACCTGGCTTCGACTTGAATCAGTGATGTTGATTGTTTTTGTCCTTTTTTTGTAGGGTGATGTGATCAAGTTATCGATTGTTCCTCAGCAAAACTTCGTGAGGACATTTCTGAATGACTGCAAGTTCAAGAGTGTCCAGCATTTTACACTCGTCGGACCAAACATAACTACTCGCAGATCACAGATTGATAAAACAACCAGTGGAATGAAACTGGAGTTAGAATCATACGGCACGTTAAGAATCTCTTCACATCCTCTTCAGGTCAAGGAGCTTTCTGCGATAGTTTTACCCAAAGAAGGTAAGGGCTATTGTTTTTAAGTTATATGAGTTTAATGCACTGCCCTGTTACGGTCGGTTAGTTGATTTATCACATACGGGGCAAAATTACTGAATGCTAATTGGCTGAGACAGAGGGCATTTTTTTCTTAATCACGAGGGCACTTTTGGTAATCCCAAGGGCAGGATTACTTGATGCTGGTTGGCTGAGCACGCCTACATTAAGTTGGTTTCCCGCTTCAAACAACTGATCCAAACGGATTTTGAAAAGGAATTTCAGAAACGCATTGCTTCTGAGTTTGATCTACACGTGGTTATTTCATCCTAAAGTGAAAGAAAATCGACATGCGCAGTCTTTTGGTGGAAAAGCCAAAGGATTTTTCCATCGAAAAATGAATTGATTCGCAGCCTGAAAAGAGTTTGAGTGGGGACGGCTGGTGTCGAACGAAGCATAGAGTCACAGAACTTCATGGCCGCCAAACTGAAAGTTAATTTCTTCGTTTTGCTTCGGGGCGCCTTATTAGTATCACAGGTCACCTTATCGGCGTAAAAAACAGCGTACATTTTGTTGGTACGTTATGTTTTCGCGGAGGAAAGGAGAGTTTTGGATTCAACAAGTTATCAGAGCTCGTTTGGACACCTGTTTATGTCTTTCATCGATCAATGAAGTAGTTTCACGCCGTTACAAGCTTCGCAAAACAGGTGAATAAAATTGGCTGGCTTAAAGTTTTGTTTGTAACGAAATTGCTTTGAGTGAATTGAACTTGCTGTGTTTTTCTTACTATTATAGCAGGCTTTCCCCGTTCTACTGCTGGCCTGTTCTTTAATGACAACCGGCAAACCTGTTTACGCGACGGCAAGACCCTGAAATTTGTCTTTTGTACAGAATTTTGCCCTTTATGTGATAAACAAGTAATCGCAAGGATTAGTTTCACTTGTATTTTCAAAGTTTTCCAGTTTTTTTGAAAACTTTGAAAATACGCGTGAAATTAATTAATTGCCCTCGGGCCCATGAGATTACATATACTTACCGCGGACACTTGTCACATAACTAAACGGGTTTTACTAAGAACCGAACCAGTGGTGAGCCACCGACGTGCCCTAGCTGTCAGAAAACAATCCCCACTTACTGCTGCTCTTGAGCCGAAATGGAACATCCCGATTGGTTTGTTAGCTCAGTTCTAAAGTTTTCAAGTGGTATTGTTGCTTATCCTAGAACCTGACTTTCAAAGCACTTTGAGGCTGATAGGACACCTCCTTGAATTGTGGTAGTGGTAGATGGCTCTGGCACCGCCGTTGAGCTTACAAGAGTATTGCTCTTCTTCTTGACGAGAGTGTTCCTCTCTTTCTCTTTCTCTCTCTCAACATCTGCCTTTTAGATAGCCTAGTTCGGCTTCTTTCTCTTTTTTTTTGTACGGCGTTCTTCATTTCGGTCACTGCTCTGCAATGATTGAAGTTCAGATTGGGCCCAGCCGTATCAAAGATCTATTGGAACTTTGAAAATTGAGCGACGATAGCTGTACCGGTCAATTGTTGTCTTTCCTTTATCAATTGTTCTAATCAATCAATCAATAAATAAACTTTATGAAAGTGTCTAAAAAAACTTCTAGTCAGCCCGGAGGCCGACTTATCGGGGACACTCCCATTAAAATTACGAATAAATTAAGTTAAAAGTTACCCATCACCTCTATGAAATCCTTTTGTTATCGCGAACGTTTGATATCGTCCTTGCTCACCACCTGTCCTGGTGAGCTTTTATAAACCCAATTCATTTCATTTTGGAGAAAGAGACGTGACCTTGGAGAATGCGTAACACCACACTTTTTTGGACTGAACCCTGGAGATTCGTACATAATTTCAACATCAGGCCAAAAAAGACTGTCACAATTCAAGTTTTTTAAGTTGTCTGCCTATAACGCCAACCACAGCTAAGGCTCTGTTATATGTGATTGTGTCAAGAATGGTTTTCTTCCCACCAAAGTCTTCTTCTTATTCCTCGTCGTTCCCTCTGGAACACAGGGCCCTGACTACTAGCTTCCATCTTTCTCGGTCTTTAGCTGCCCTCTTCGTCTCCTCCCAGGTCATGCTGATGGTCTTCAATTCAGCTTGTAGAGATCTTTTCCCGGTAAAACATGGTCTTTCTCTCCTCCATTTCCCCTGTGGGTTCCAGTCCAAGGCTTGGTGGGTATGGTATGTCCAATACATCTTCACTTTCTACTCTGGATGGTGTCAGGGATGGGCTCCTGCCCAGTTCTTTGCCAGAGCTCTTGGTTAGAAATGCGCTCTGGCCATCTCATGCGTGGAATCTGACGGAGACAGGTGTTGATGAAGACCTGCAGTTTGTAGTCTAATTTCCTTGTGCGCCTCCAGGTTTCAGCCCCGTACAAAAGAACTGATTTGACATTGCTGTTGAACAGTCTCAGTTTCGTGCGGCAGCTGAAGTTTTTACTCCTCCGTACTGGTCTCGGGGTGGCAAAAGCTTGACGCGCTTTGTTGATCCTAACCTTAACGTCCTCGTCTGTTCCTCCTGTCTTGCTCACAATGCTGCCCAAGTAGGTGAAGCGATCAACTTCTTCGATGGCCTGGCCATCAACACTGAGGGGTGCTTCCTGGCATTTATTCGCATGTTCTTGGTCTTGGTGACATGGATCTCTAGACCTGCTGCCCGGGCAATATTGCACAGGCTCTCGGTCTTAACTTGCATATGCCCAACTGTGTGTGAGAGTAGGCTAACATCATCAACGAAGTCCAGGTCCTCTAGCCCCTGCATGAGGGTCCAGTGAATGCCTCTCTGCTGTTCCATTGTTGTTTTCAGCATCCAATGAATAACTAGTGAGAAGATAAGTGGGGACAAGATACATCCTTGTCTCACTCCTGTGTTGACAGTGAAGGCTGCAGACAAATCAGTGTTGTGGATGACTCTACAGCTGTTATCTTCATAGAAGCTCAGCATGATGTTTACGATCTTCTGGGGAATGCCATAGTGCCTCAAGAGTCTCCAGATCATTGTTCTGTCCACCATGTCAAATGCCTTTTTTAAAGTCACCAGAACTGATATACAGCGGTGACTGCCATTCTAGCGACTGTTCAATGATGATGCGGAGAGTTGCTATCTGGTCTGTGCAAGATAGGGTTCTGTGCCTGAACCCTGCTTGTTCCTCTCTCAATTTGGCGTCCAAAGCTTTTCTTATCCTCTCCAGAATCAACCTAGTGTAGGCCTTGCTTGGGAGAGATAGAAGTTGGATTCCTCTCCAGTTCCGGCAGTTGGTAAGATCCCCTTTCTTCGCAATCTTTACAATATAGCCTGTCTTCCATTTCGTTGGCACTTCCTCCTTCTCCCATGCATCCTCCATTAGGTTAATCATGATATTTGCAGTGATCTCAGTGTCTCCTTTCATGACTCTAGGTGGAATGTTATCTGACGCCTTACCGTTCTTGATTTTCTTGATGGCCTCTACTACCTCTGCCTTGGTGATGGGGCCAAGGTTAATGTCCAGGTCGTCTCCCTCCTTAATCTGCGGTGGGTTGACAACTGGTGTCCCATTGAGCAGGCTGCTGAAGTGCTCCTTCCAGTGATCGAGCTGGTCTGATGTCTTGCTGAGAAAGGTGCCATTGCTTCCGCGCACTGGTTTGTTGGTATTCACTCTCGTACCTGACAGCTGACGGGTGCTGTTGTAGAGGGTTTTCATGTCGTTCTGTTGGGCTGCAGTCTTCCCCTCTTCTGTAAGTTCATCCACCAGTTCTCTCTTGTCTCGCTTGGCACTCTTCTTAATTTCAACATTTCTCTGGGTTTATTCTCGCCGTGTCTGCCGTTTCTGGATCCGTGTTCTTGCATGGTAGAGTCTTTGTTTGATGGATCGCCTCTCCTTAATCTTCTTGATAGTTCTTTCTGATAGCCAGCTCTTAAATTCTCTCTTCTTGAATCCCAATTCTTCCTCTGCAGTTGTCGTGTACGTGCTCTTGACTCGTTCCCATTTATTCTCCAACGAGCCATCTTCTAAGTCTACTAAAGCCTGGCATCTGTTGTTCAGTGAAAGGGAGAACTCCTTTTGCTGTGCTGGTGTCTTTATCTTGGAGATGTCGAACCTCTGGTTCTTCTGTAATCCAGACTTCCTAATGCTTTGAATCTTGGCTTTCAGCTTCTCAATCACCAAAATGTGGTCTGATCCAACGTCCGCACCACTATAAGCTTTGACGTCTTGAAGGGTTCTTTGCCACCTGCGGGAGATAGTAAAGTTGTCTATCATCTGGTTCTTTGTTCACGAATCGGGAGAAGACCATGTCACCTTGTGTATTTTACGATGGGGAAATACTGTGCCAGCGATCACTAGGTCATTCTGCTCACAGAAATCTGTAAACAACTCTCCATTCTCGTTCATGGGGCCGAGACTTTCTTTCACCATGAAAGCGCGTAGCACTGGATAATTGACACTTTCTGGAACTTTGACTGGAACCGGGATCTTAAAATTCTTTAATTTATTGGCTCCTATTCTATTAGGCTTCTGCTGGCATTATGCCCACTCCATTTCTGTGGTCATCACCTTCATTGGGTGGTCCTGAGTGCAGCAACACATGTCCCGATGCCAGAGTGGCTTTTCCAGATGCAGTCCATCGAACTTCACTCAGTCCTCAAACTTTCCGGCCTCGTATAAAGCTCTCCCATTCCATGTTCCTATCCTTGTGCCGGTCTTGGGGAAGAGACGATTCTGCATAGCAGTTTCCATGCGGGTTCGACTGCGCTGCTTCATACGCTCTCCCTCGGGTCGTTTCTTTTGGTCATTTAATGTAATTCAAGTAATCCCTGTAGTCGTGGTTTCCGTAGCGAGCGTGTTTTTGACGGGATGGAGTTGCTAGCCCCAAGCCCAACTCTTCCTTTCTCATCCGGGTTTGGGACCGGCCATAGCGGAGTTACCTTACTATTATATTATTTGATACGCGAGGCAATATATTTTTCCAAGCTGTCGCCAACTCTGACCTCTCCGACAAAGATAGTCGTCCATTTTTGCACAAGTTTGACACAACTCAAAAGAAATGAAAGCCATATTTTCGTGCAGTGGTGGCTAGTGATTCCGACGCTCAAATATACTCTTATTATTTCCAGGATGCAACGATGTTTGTGATATTTACGTGGACACCGGAGCTGTGTTGAGATGCAATAGCATTGAAGTAGACCTCAACAACCGAGGTGTTGTATTCATTAACGGCACGGTCACCAGTCGATCTTGTGATGTAGGTAAATGTCTGACCATCAAAATAAACAGTGGGGAGCTTCACATTGGAATAGACGGGGTTTTGGGCCAAAAAGTCAATGCCACAGGAATTGCCAAAAACGAAAATCTGACCAAGAAATTGGAAGTCGCAATTGCCCATGGCAATTTGACAAACTTCGGAACACTATGTGCTCAAAATTGTCTCACGTTGACATGCAACAAAATCATGTTATGCTCAGATTCGAAACATGACACCGCTCAGCGTGGCTTTAGCAGTTTCATTTCACTGCAAAAAGACTTGGGGTTTTTATCAGACATCACCCAACGTCCAAAGACCAGTTCTTCCCTTAATGATTCTCGAATTTTGCAAGCAGTTAAGATGCTCGATTCATCAAACTTCGTGCATGTTGTGAATGAAGAAGTGGATCCAGCGGCTAAAGTCAACGGGAGAAGCATTGCATCAGAATTTAATGTGATATGTGGAGAATGGAAAGACGACTTTGCCAAAGACCAGAGTGAAAAAGAAGTTATACGTGGGGGACTGGTGACATGTACGTGGAGACATGGCGTCATTCGATCATCCTCTATCTCCTGCATTGTAAAGGAAGACATCCATGACTGTTCCCAGCTGCAAGGGAAAAAAATCCATTTTAATGTTGGTGGATCTGTAACGGTTGTCAAGCCATGGACATGGCTCTGCGGAAATGTAAGTGGTCTTGTCAGAGGCGATTTCTTGTTTTTCGACAACGCAATCTTGGAAAGATTCGACCAATTGTACGTCCTTGGAAACGTTAGAATCTTTGAGACATCCATCGTTTGGACTAGAATGGGTGGAAAATTACACACTGGTGAAGTCTTTGAGAACAAAAGCTTAGTTGTCAGTGACGGTGATCTTGCTTTGGACCTCGGCCAGTTAAAGCAAGGCAGAGAAGCGAAAATGATCAGCAAAGGAGATCTTCTATTAGTCTTCCGAGATGGTGTTGAAAATAGCTGGTTTGGCTATGTTCTTGTCCTACAACATTTCTTCATTCAGCTACAGAGAAAAGTTTCCTGTGATGCCTTTTGCACTGCCAAAGAATGCGATGCCGAGTTTTTTGAAAGAGATGCTCAGCTGCTTGTCAATCAAGCTTTCGTCGTGGAAGAGGGAAGTTTGAATCTAAAGGCCACTGACGTAAGCCAGATTACCAACTTTATCGTGCTGGGTGAATTGCATGCTCAAGGAATTAATGGTATTACGGCCTCTGTTTGCACACGATCTGGTGCAGTTGTTGACCTCAAATATTCCCCGAAAGACAGACCAAGGCAAAATACGATAGATGTCATTACAAGATGTCTGGAAATCAGCGCTGACTCCGTCATATCATGTAATGGTCCTCAATACAGAGAGAACAAGGGCATCTTTGGGGACTCAAACGTTGCAAACAATTTCTCCTCTGAGGAAATCATCTCAGTGAATGGCAACCTGACAGCGTTCGGAACACTTTTGAACATTCAGTCCAAGGCTTTCAGCAACAGTGGTATGGTAAAACTGTCACCTGCCAGCACCGATGTGATCTCAGAAGCAAGTTTGCTAAGCATTAATTGCAAGGAAGAAACCGTCAATGCGGGAGTTATCGAATGCGATGGGAACATGGATCTAAAGTCGAAGAATTTCTCCAATGAAAGAGGAATCCTGAAATCGTCTAATATGGATGTCGCAATACATTCTTATGATGTAGCAACATTAGGTGGGCGCATTTACGTCGATAAACACTTCATTGTTAGCTCGCAATCGCAGAACGCTCTGTCCTTTTCTGCATTGGGGGGAAAAGATGAAAGCAAAGAAGGATTTGTTCTACCAGACCAATTTGAAGTCAGATGTGTTAAAGGTCGATTGCTGATTGACTCCGCCATTGCCAAATCAGAAGACAACATCGAGCCTGAATGTATTTTCAGACTGTGTGAATGCTTGAAGTTGCGTAAAAAATGTGATCTGGGACAGTTCTTAGTTGAATTCCACGGAAGTGAAGATATTGTCAGTAAAGAAATGAACAAGTCAGTGCTTGCAGTAGAAGATTCCCTTCAAGCAAGCCGTCTCTGGTGTACGGCCGCGAATACCCCCATAAAAGAACGCCTTTCCATTGAGGGTCCGAACAAGATGACTATTATTCGTGAAATCAAAGTTGATGAATCAATTGAGGAGATTGTATTTGACACAATCAATCCCCTTAAATGCTCTCACGCTTCTCTTGATTGTCATTTGGCAGTCATCCAATGCCAAATCGAGTGTGTTGATATCACAGCGAAAGCACTTCATATTCCAGGAAGACTGAGATGCACCCAGCCAGCAACGAGAGAAAAACCATCAACCATCATCGTAGAGGATATGATATCGTTCACTGGCAGCTTGGAATGTGTGGGATCCGTGGAAGTTATTGTGGGAAAGGCCTTTGAGCAGGAGCAGGCGGAATCTGGGAGTATAGATATCTTCCAAAGACTAAAGATAGTCACAGAGGAAAATGGTACCGTTTTGCTGAAAGGATTAACCAAAGGGAAATTGGATTCGCTTACTCTGTTGGAAATTGAAGCCCAGAGTATTAACATTTCGGGAAGTTTGACGGAAGTGTCAGCTGTGAAAATTGTCGCAGATAAAGATTTGCATCTCACCAGGGAGAGCAAAATCAGTTTATGCGAGTCGGTAGAAATTAAAGGAGAGTGGATTACAACAGCTGGCTCAATAGAAGAATTCAGCCATCTTCAAATACAGCCATGGGCAATTCTGAACTCTGGTCAAATAGAATCGGTTCGGGAAGCTTGTGATATTACCTTATCCTCTGACCTTGCCTTGGTCAACAGTGGAATTTGCAGGGGCCACGTAACCTCTCTGGAAGCACCATTCTTGTTAAGCCTTCCAGGCGAAGAGATTGCTGATGTAAACGATGTGACGAAGTGTGAACTGGTTGGACGAGACAACATTGAACTAGAAAGTATCACGTGTTTCCTTGGGGGCTCTGCCCTAAAATCGAACAAACGGATCGAAAACAACACGGTTCTGCTTTTCAAGTTTTTGGCCTACGTAACATGCATACCCGACGCCAAAAGCATAGAAGCGTGGTCAAAAGCTGGAGAATGGCTGAAGAATATTCAGAAAGAATATGAGGCAAGCAAAGGCAGCCATTCAAGCAAATCATTGACATCCTTGAGCAGAGGTTCTATGCAAAACGCAGAAATCAGCTTACGACTGGGCCAAATGTACAACATGGTGAATAACTTTGTTGCAGAAGTTCTGAAGAACGGCATTGAGTCTTTCGACGTGCCAAAACTGGTTTTCATCATTACAAGCGAGAGCGATAGATATACGAAGCTAAACGTGCTGAAAGAAAAATTATTGGCAATCCCGCGAAAGGCAAGAAAAATGCGAGAATTGATAAAGAAAGGAGGAATGAAGGCCTTGCAATCAATGAAGGAAAGCTTTGGCTTCTCTGAATCAAAGAAAAGTAATCAAGAAGATGGTATTCACGAATCTGGCTCTTACTGTTTTGGGGAGGGTGTCACCTTCACAGAGTCATTCTATGAAGCACTCTTTGACGAAGTTTTCTGCGACAATGGTGCTCAATTTGCTGGAGATGTTGCTGTCGTATCTAAAGAAATTTTTTTGAGCAAAAGGGAAAAGAGAGCTATTGCAATGCTGCTTTGCGCAGATGAAGTGTGCAGTGTGGGTGATATTGCCAGCAGTTCTTTAGACGTAAAATCATCCCGGGGAAAAGTTCAGCTTGTTGGAAAAGTTGAATCAGACCAAGCAACGATTGAAGCTAAGTCGGGCATTGATCTGGCTTATCATGACGAAAGAGAAGGGCGGGCAAAGGCAGATCACAAGTTCAAGAGCATTACGATGAAAACTAACAAAATCAACGAGGTTAATAGTTTTCTGAAAGGCGAAGGAGTGTATGAAGATTTAAAGATCTCTGATCAACTCGGCTTGGTGTTGACGGATCAAGATGTAGTTCTTTCGAGCTGTAACCTTTATCATGGGTACGGGCTCAATCTTAAGGCGAAGTCAGTTAGTATTGACAATTCTAACCTGAGATTTGACAAAGGAGCATCAATAGCATCAAATCAAACACTCAATGTCAGAAACTCATCAGTCACGTCTCAAAACTCTCTCCTGTTGAAATCTGTTGAAGGAAATGTCAACTTGGATTCGTCAAGTCTTGGAGCTGGCGGCGTTGCAGCTCTAGTATCAAGCAAAGGATCTGTTTCGATGGCTGCTAGTTCAGTTTCTGGTGAGAAAGGTGCCGTTGCAGAGGCGAAGAAGGACGTAATTATTGATGTCAAAGAAACGAGACACAGCACGTCTTCGTCAGATAGAGGTTTTTTTAGCTCCTCAAAAGATGTAACATCATATTCCACTGTTTCAAAATCGAGTATCTCTTCCTCGTCTGGAAGTGTATCGATTAAATCAGAAGAAGGAAAGATCAAAGCAACAGCCACGGAAATCCAGGCAGCCAAAAACATCGCGATTTCAGCGAAGGAAGATGTCGTTATCCAAGACAAAGTGACTGTTCGAGAAGAAGAGCATGTGAGGAGCAACTGGTTCAGTACAAAGAGAACAAGACAAAGACAAGATGAGCAGCATTGCTCGCAATTAAATGCTGGTGGATCACTCACTGTTTTATCCAGAGATTCTCATGTGACCATGATTGGGACTGATGTTTCGGTCAGTGACAACCTGATGCTTCAAGCCGCTGGTACTGTCTTATGTAAAGACAGGATACTTTCACAGTCACGGGAAGTTCAGTCAAGTGGCTTTTCATTCTCCGTAGAAAATGGTCTATCGTTTGGGCAAAAATCTGAACGAATGATGCAGCAGCGTTTAGCTGGACGCACCATGAAAGTTGGAGGCAACTTGTCTGTTTCAGCGAAAAACTTAGACGTGAAAAATGCAATGGTTATGGGTGTTGGAAATATGCTTATCGATGCCGAGAACGTTAACTTTGAAGGAGCAGAATTAAATAATTCGTATTCTTCTAAAGAATGGTCGGTCGGATTTGGAATTCAGTCACCGTGTACAGTGAATGTAACCGCGGCAAATGCTTGCTCAAAACAGAAGCAAATCGTCAATCAGGACATCACTGTTCGAGGAAGAACCCATTTCACCGCGGCGCAAAATGTGAATTTGACTGCATGTAACCTAGAAACTGGTGCTATCACTGGGAACATTGAGAATTTGCATGTCATTTCCAAGCAGAGTGAAATAGAAGCGTTCGAGCAGACAGTAACTGTGGGCTTTGCCATTGGTCCAAGATTTCCTACTCCCGAAAAGTTCGGTTACAGCAAGAGTTCGGACGTCGGGAAGTTTGTAGAAAGGGCAAGCGGCATCCATTGCAGTGGACCAATGAAAGAGGAAGACTTCAAAGTCGGTTCTCTAAACCTCAAAGGTTCATCAGTTACGGCTGATGGAGATATTGGAAATTTTGCAAAGAATATTATCTCGGAAAAAGTTTCCAGCTACCGATCACAGTCCTCGTTCGGATTCTCCTTAGGTGTCAATAAAACCGGAGTGGCCGTGGGGTTGAGTACAAGCGAAAATTCAGTGGCCATGGAACACCAAGGAACTATTGCATCCTCTTCAGGAATTGTTTCCGAAGAAATAAAGAGATCCGTTAATACGGACTATGGCAAACACGCAAGGATCACCGATATGCGCAAGTCGGCATTCGCATTAAACCTTAGAGTAGCGAAAGACGGTATGGGCGCAGAGGTTCAGGTAAATGATAAAGGCGCAGGAGTTTTTGCTTCGAAAGAAAACATAGGAGGTCACGCGCAGTGTGGAGATAGAGGCTTTGCTCTATCAGGTGGTAAATCAGGGATTTCAGGGTCTTTGCAAAATGGCGAGACTAGCATCGACCTTGGCCTCTCAAAGGAGCAGCTTGAAATAAATGTCAAATCCAAAGACAGTGCCATTGGTACATCACTTGGGAAAAAGGGGATATCTGGATCTGTCCAACATAAAAATTTTGCAATTGGCGGCTCCTTGTCTAAAGAAGCGAAATCAATTCAACTGAGTGCTGGTGATTTAAAGACTGGATTTAAGCGAGAGAAAAACAGCAAGACAGGCGAAAAGATCACTTCCGCAAATGTTCAAGTCGCAGATCTTAAACTTGCTGGTTCAACATCGAAGCATTCCAAATCGCTCCACTTTGCAGCTGGTAATGTGAAGACTGGATTTAAGCGAGAAAAAACCAGTGAGACAGGCGAAAAGACCACTTCCGCAAATGTTCAAGTCGAAGATCTTAAACTTGCTGGTTCAACATCAAAGCATTCCAAATCACTCGACTTTGCAGCTGGTGATGTAAAGACTGGATTCAAGCGAGAGAAAAACAGTAAGACAGGCGAAAAGACTACTTCCGCAAATGTTCAAGTCGCAGATCTTAAACTTGCTGGTTCAACATCAAAGCATTCCAAATCGCTCGAC